TTTATTTATTTTTGTGAAGTGATCCAGGTTAAGTGACTTGCCCAGGGTCACACAGCTAGTAACTTGTTATCATTTTTTAAGTGATTAATTTTTATTAACTGCATAGGCAGAGTTTTGACTCTGAAGTCAACCTCCAGTTCAAATCTCCTCCCTGAAGCTTAGTACTCCTGTGATTTCACTCCTTGGGCTAGACACCTAACTACCTTTTCTGGCCTTTAGTATCCTCATTAATGAAACAAAGGAGTTAGATTAGATGATCTCTGAAATCTCATTTAAAGTTATGATCTTATGCTTTGAGAAAGTATATGTTTAATATGCAAAAGGATAATAGCATCAAAAGCTGGGAGAGTCCCTTAAAGATTATCTACCTGCCACACCCTCATTTTTGCAGTGGACAGCAGTCGGGGTTAAAGGCCTTGCCCGGGGTCGCGCAGCTAGCACATGTTTGACGTTGGATTTGAACTCAAGTCCTCTCGACTCTAGGGCTTTGTCTCTATCCACTATGCCACCTAGCTACCTTTAACATCTTCATTTTTACAGATGAAGGAACTGAGGTCCAGAGAGAGGAAGCTACTTACTTGCTCAAAGTTATGGGGGAAGGAAATTGCAAAGCCAAGATTTGAATTCAGTTTCAGGTTTGGAGTCGTATTCTAACAGTCGATTGGTGTTCATTTCACTCTAAAAAGCATCCTCACATACAGCTTCCTCATGATATTTGATTGATAGTTCACATATCATTTAGAAATACCATAGAGTTGTGAAGCACTAGTTTTATGTTTCCTTTGTAAAGGAACTTAATTCCTTTTGTTTGTTGATTCTAAATCTTTGAAACTGTGTTCACTGCAAATTAACCTTCCTGGGTCTCAGGATGAGGTCAATCTTTTCTAGTTTTTCGATGAGCTAAGTGTGCCCCCAACACTATATGTGTTATGTTTTTTTTTTCTTTTGGCCAGGTAAAAGCATTGCTAGGTGTTGAATGTTTTTTCTTTATATTAAACTCAATCTACTTGAAGTCCCTGTGACATTGTGTGGAAAGTGCCATTTTTGAGCCAATGCTGCACACAAACGACCACATTGCCATTTTCTTGGAGTTAATTCATTTTCTTTCTAAATACTAGTGCTCTTTCTTTATTCTCTTACCATTTTGGCAAAACCATTAGTATTCAGGTTGTTTACAGGGTTCTTGAAAGATAATGTTTTCAGGAAAATTATAAACCCAAGCAGAGGCATTGCTAAAACAGGAGAAAGCTCCAGTTGACATCTTACATCATTCTATCTCCATCTCCTTTTGAGGATCCCATCTCTATACCAGGACTGTTAATCCTATACCCAACTTGGATGGAAGAGCACCATTTCTCCATCATCCATTCAAATTCCCTTTGCTGGCTAGGGAAAACCTCAGTGATGCCCCGGCCATGCCTCATGAAATCCAAACTTTTTAGATCCCTGCAACACAGAGGAAATATCCTTGTGCTGCTACCAGGCAGGGGTCCCAAGCATTAAGAACACTAGACAGAAGAAATTCCATTGGGACACATGGCTACATTGCTCTAAACCATTTAAATATGTCTTTTTTTTTTTCCTCCAGTGATGACAGTGATTAAACATTAGAACAGGCTGCCAAAGGCCTGCCCCTTGAGATCTTTGAAAATGGGATAGATAATTAACTGTCTGTATCCACCTTGGATGCTCTCAGCTTTCCTATGTACAACTGGGGACTTGAACTGGATAGTATCATAATTTATATTCTGTCGTAAAATACTTTGTGTCCTTCCTCTCATGAACTCCTCACTGCAACCCTGTGAGATAGGTGTGACAGGTATCATTATCCCCATTTTAAAGATAAGGAAACTGAGGTTGGAGATGGTAAGTGACTTGCCCATGATGGAGGATTCAAGCTTCATCTCTCCTGACTATTCTTTCCACCCCACCCCATCCCTACTTCTCCAGAATACCATCTTCTATTACTGTGGCTCATTCCTAATTCCACATATAAGTGCATGTTTGAAAAGGACAGTGGGACTAGATCTCAGGGACTCAAAGGACCCAGCTTTGAGTTCCAGATTTACCACTTACTGGTCATTTGACTTTGGGCAAATTGCTTAGCCTCCCCTGAGTCTGGTTCTGTTTTTAAAGTAGAGGTCATAAAAGAAAGAAAGAAAGAAAGAAAGAAAGAAAGAAAGAAAAAAACTCCCTCCCCCAAACAACCAGCTTTTAAAATTAAAACACTGTAAATGTGAGTTGGTTAGTAGTCTATTTGTAAATTATTACCTTACTTTACTCCCCATCACATTTGTCAGTAAGCAAGGTAAAAAAATTAAATAGTTCTCTTTTATATTTATTCTATGCTGTAAATAACACATTTTAAATCATTTGACTAGAAAGTAATGTTATTTTAAAAATTAATATTTGAGGGTGTGACAGCCTAAGAGACACCATTGTGTTATAGTTTCAGTGTTTTAAACAATTTTCCTCCTAATGAATCAACAGTTGACTTAACTTGATTAGATATACCAGATTCTATCTTACAGAAACTCATTCCTCTTTATGGGAGGAAACCTTGATTGATAGTTGATCAAAATGTTGTTATTGATAAAGTCTAAAGTGATTAGAGCCCTATATTGGGCTAAATGATTGCCTTGTATGTTGAGGGTGCTATAATTTTGATGTTTGCAGTGACTGAACTGCTGATCACTTTGTAAAGGCCTCATGTAGTGAGTTAGTTAGCATTTGTGTTCCAAGCCCCGTGATAGGTGCTGGAAACCCTACGGGCTTAAAGCTCAAAGTGTTGCCATGGCAAAGCTGAAGTTTTCAGTCTCTAGTCTTTGGAATTTAGGTCAGATTTTGGATTTGGGGGAATTGTTGGGTAGGTCTGTCATTCATCCTCTAACCAAACTTGAACAGAAGAATGACAACTTGTGGCATGGATTCCTTTCTGATGTGATGTATGAGAAATTTATGCTGTAGCCTTTGAAATGGCTCAGTTGGGTGAACTTTGGTTTGGGGATTTTTTTTTAACCCCGACTTTATTCATTATTTATTTATTGAACCTTTTCATTATCTCCATTTGGTCAAAAGGTTATCAAAGTAAGCCCAGACCAGGAATAAGATATGGGACAATTACCTAAGTCTTTTAGAGTCTCTGAAGACCTCCAAATATTTCTAGGAATGCCTCTCACTCCACAGAGGCAGAGGTGGGGGCCATGGATGTGGGCTACTCTGTATGTCAGACTTTTGGGCTTATCTTGATCAGTTTCACTGAACTCTTCTTTCCCTCCTTTTTTCTCCTTTGTTATAAGAGTCTTTGATTGTCTGGTGGGGGGAGTGGGATACATTGGGAAATCCGCATAACCTAAGAAAAGAGGTATCAATAACATTTTTTAAAAAAATAACAGATTGCAAAAATAAATGTTCCGGGATTCTTGTTGCACGTAATCCTTGGACACATTTTACTGAGTGATAATGAGATCATAGGATACAATAGAAAGAGTGTGGGTTTGGAGTCAAAAGACCTGGTTCAAATTCTGACTTTTCATTTGCCTCTAAGACTCTGGACCGTCCCCCTTTTTAGGCATTTGGTTTTGTTTGTTTGTTTGTTTTTTACTTTTTGGTGAGGCAGTTGGGGTTAAGTGACTTGCCCACGGTCACACAGCTAATAAGTGTCAAGTGTCTGAGGCTGAATTTGAACTCAGGTCCTCCTGACTCCAAGGCCAGAGCTCTATCCACTGCACCACCTAGCTGCCCCCTTTGTATTTTTTAATATGTAAAAAGAAGGGGGTTAGTCTCTAGATAGACTTTCAGGTGCCTATTAGCTCTAAATCTAGGATCCTATTATCTCCTATAAGGAGCTGATTGAACAGAGGATGACTTCAGTACATGCTGTTTATAATACACTGAGTCAATTCAAGTCAAAAGGAATTTATTAAGTACCTACTATGTGTCAGGCCTTGTACTAAGTGCAGGGAATAACAAAGAAAGACCAAAGACAGCTCTCACTCTCAAAGAGCTCAGTCTAAAAGGGTAGAGAACATGTAAACAAGTGTGTACAACTATGTACAAAGAAGCTATATACGAGAAAAATTAAAGATAATCAGCAGAGGAAAGAACTAGGATTAAGGGGGAATCAGGAAAGGCTTCTCAAAGACGATGAGATTTTAAGTGGGACTTGAAGGAAGACTGGGAAGCCAGGTGGAGATGAGGAGAGAGTGAATTCCAGGCATGGAGGGCAGACCTTAAATCATGAATGAAGTCACTATAATAGTGAAAACCAACACTGTTGCTTCCAGAATTGTTCTCCTTAATCCAGAACCTAAAGAAATGAAATCATCAGCACACATAGATTAAGGGGGTAGATGAGTGGAAATCATGGCTCCTAAAACCAAACAGTATACTTTATTGCTCTGAATGTAAGCCACACTTTTCTTCCCCCAAATTTGGTTTATGCAAATGCTCTCATTAAGAAAGTTCAGCGAAAGCGACAAAGATGGAGAGAGTAGTTATGATAAAAAATCAATAAAACATCTTACTAATTGAAAGAAACAAGCTTTTTGGGGAAGTACATTTTCAGGCAAAAATCTGATCATTATTCAGTGTTTACATAAGTATATTTATATATCTGTATAATACATGTATGTAATTTCCTTTCAAAGAACTTATATTTTAGGGATACAGCTTGAAGTCAGACCAGTAACTGCAGTTTATAGACCCCTCATTCTGGCATGATTGATGATTTTTGTTACCTATCCATAACTAATAGAATGATGAACCTCCGGATACCTAAATATCCTGAGCCTCCCAAATTGCTTCGTTCAATCCTGGTTAATGGTGAAATGATTTGTGTGATTTCTCTGCCTACGAAAGGCTGAAATTGACATTGTTAAAGAAGTAGATTTTTCAGACAAAGTGAAAAAAGAATTGCTTAAAAAACTGAATTTTCCATTTACGTTCATAAAAACATCATCTGTATACACTGCTCACATGGCTTTATTTGTTTCTTTCAGTTCTTGGGCATAGCGTTTCTTGGAATTGGACTCTGGGCATGGAATGAAAAAGTAAGTTGAATATAATGATATTCCTTCTTTTGGTGGTGGTTACAAATAGTTTGCTGTGTTTCATATTTTCTGTTTTTTCTTGTTAACAGTTGTGTATAAAGAAAGACACTTAATAATAAGTAAATGTTCTCGGAGATAATTTGATTGTATCTTTTTAAAGATTGCCGAAAAAGAAGGTCCCAACAGACAGCTGCACCAAAACAATTATTGGCATAACTAACATATCTTACATATAAATACATGTGTTCACATAAATACACACACATGTACACAGGCATATATATTAAAGTTTTATCTGCACCATAGAAGTAGACCCTATAGATTTCAGAAATAATGATGGAACAACCATGCAAACATTTATGAAACACCTACTAAGTGCTAGGTGGTTAGGATATAAAGATTAAAAAAGAAAAACTCAGCCCTGCTCTCAAAGACCTTAAGAGTGTTCAAAGTATAAAAATGCTTTTGTAGTAGACCATGGTGTTAGATAAATTGAAAGAATTAAAGAAAGGTCTTTGATAGTATTGAAAGCAAGAACTATTATCAGAGATGTATGTATGGTATGGAGCACTTTGTAAATATTAAGGAACCAACATAGTGTGGTGGGAGAAGTTCACATTAATAATTTATATTATGAGTGCTTGGTGCTGACTGTTAAGTATAAAAAATGTTGCTCAGAACTTATATCTAAATCCTGTATAATGAAGGAAAATCTGGAAATATTGAATATTGTAGTTCTAATGAATTCATTCATTTGGTTTGCCATGTAATTGACTTTCGAGAATTCCACCTACTGCTTTCCAGGCCTTTATTTTAGGTCACATCTAGGATTTTATTTTCACACTTTAATCTCTCCTGTAGTGAGCATGGAATCCATAATTAACTATGAGCTCTTTTCTCATAGAAATCTGATAGTACCATGGTATTTCATCTATCCATAAATTTCCCTGATTAACAAATACTATTAAATCTTTATTATTTGCTATACTGGAAGAATGAGAGCTACTAGGTGAACAACTATTCTAGTTAGCTTGATATTAGTTTAAATTTCACTTGGTCAGTCACCTGCCACCTATCCTTCCCCTATTCTCCTTCCTTGACCCATCCTGTGCCCAAATCAAGAACTAAAGAATTTTCTTTTGAGGGCTAACATCTACCTTAAAGAGCATAATCTTATCTAGTGGACTGCTTTCTAATCCAAAGACTCATTGCACTTAAAACTGGAAGATATCTTAGTGATCATCTTGGCCAGTGACTTTTTTACAAAGGAGCAAACTGAAGCTTTAGAAGAGTGAAATGACTCTCTGCCTAAGGTTACATGGAGAGGAAACTGAAGATTCTGGATTGGAAACTCCATCCTGTGACTGTAAATCCAGTGCCCTTTTCTGCTATAGGTGCTCATGAAATGTAATGGGATAATGGATGGATGGAGGGAGGGAAGGGTGGATAGATAGAGCTCATAAGGTAATTAACATATTCCTGGGAACTTCTGAATTCCAGTTTGCTCCAGTAGTGATTTGTCTGTACTAGACTGAAGATTTACCTGGAAGTAACAAAACATATCAGTTTCTCAAGCCTTTGGCTCAGTAAGTGCCACACAACACAACTTAAACTATATGTTTCATTAGCTTTGGGAATCCTCTTATGATAGAATCTAAAAATAATTATAAGGTCTTTTTGCCTTAAGTAATTGGCTATTTTTAAGTGTGTGTGTGTGGGGGGGTGTCTTAATAAGACATATTAAACTGTCTTTTATTTCACCACCTGCTCCAAATGGCTTCTTTGGATATAATTACTATTTCTTCCCATCAGTGATTAAGGTTCAGAGTAAGGGGCATTCCAACTAATGGGGGAAGGACATAAAGTCTTTACAGAGTTGACCACTCTGAGTCAGGTACACTTAGTTTCTTCCTGAACAAGTATCAGATTTAAAACTTATTTTGTTATTGATGTGGAGGGGTAGTCAGGATCTGTGAACTCCTGTTGTGGAAACTCCCTTTACCAACGCAGAGCTACTGCTTGTCTCCGTCTTGTAATCTTAGAGTTACATGGTGCAGTGTGTAGTTAAGTGACTTACCTTAGGGTCACACAACCAGCATATGTTAGAGGGAGAACCTGAACCCAGGTCTTTTGGATTCTCTTCACCCCCATACTGCGCTATCTCCTTCAAATGGTCTTGCTGTTCAGAAAACTTCTCTTCCATCTCTGCCATTTTGCAGGATTTTGAGAACAGATGCCGTGTCTTTTTAATTAACCTATCATATGCAGCACTCAGTTTAGTGGTATTCCTAATTAGTTGGTAAGGATAGTTCTGCCCTCTAAATCAGGAAATGCTTGTTTTTCTCAGCGGGGAAGGGAAAGGTGTTCTACTGGCCCCCTCCTTCCCTTGGTCACTACTGCATCTCTGCAAAAAATCCTAGATCCATCGTGGGGCTAGCTGTATTAAGAAGTGTTACAAAAGTTGTTCTGGGGATAACTCTAAGCATCACGATAGTTCTATGGTCCACTGTGGGTAGAGCTATGTGGGGAGATATGAATTGGTGCAACTGCTCTAGAAAATAATTTTGAATCGTACCTAAAAAGTCACTAAACTATACATACTCTTTGACTCAGTTACAACATGAGGTATAAAAGTCAAGGGAGGTCAAAGAGGAGAAGGTCCCATATATGAAATATATTTATAGCAGCCCTATTTTTGAATACCTGATTTTTTATCAACATCTTTTGTTTTTTTACATTGGGTTCTTAACAAAATATATCCTCTCCCTCTGTCCCTAAGTGAGCCATCCCTTGAAGTAGGGAATAAAGAAGAAAGAGGAGAAAAGAAAAGTCAGTTTAAGAAAACTAACATTTCAGTTTAGTCTGACAACAAATGAAATGTTTCCTTCTCATCATTTCCCCATCTCTGCAAAAAAAAAAAGGGGGGGGAGAAGGTACAAAACCTGAGTTTGACGCTGACTTCAGATACTTACTAGTTGTATGACCCTGAACAAGTCTCTCAACCTCTCAGTCGTAGTTTTCTTATCTGTAAAAAGTAGATAATGATATCAGCTGCCTCACAGTGTTGTTCTGAGACTCACCTGAGAATATATGTAAGTGCTTTGTAAACTTTTAAGCACTATAGCAATTGTTAGATTGTGAAAATTACACACTGTTCAATTTCAATTTCTGTTCATTCCATTTACATTTTTGTAGTTTTATTATGTTATTTTTCCTACTTCTCCTTCACTCCATATCAATTTATATGTCTTCCCATGCTTCTCTGAATTCTTATTCATCTTTTCTTGTAGCCCAGTGATATCTCTTCGTATTCATTTTCATGGTTTGACCATTTCTTCATGGATGGCCCTCTAGTTGTTTCTGTTCTTTGATACTTCAGCAAGTGGACAGCAGCACTTTTTGCAGTAATAAAGAACCAGAAAGGATGTGGGTGCCCATGGATTTGGGAATGGCTGAACAGATTGTGGTACACTATATCAAATTGTTTGCCATCTGAGGGAGGGAGGAAGAAAGGGAGAGAATTTGGAATTCAAAATTTTAAAAAACAAATGTTAAAAATTATTTTTACAAATAATTGGGGAAAACAAAATATTATTTAAATAAGAAATTAAAAAACACAATAAAATTGTGGCACATGAATATAAGGGAATATTACTGTCCCAAAAGAAATAATAAGTATGAGGGATTCAGAGAAACATGGAAAGATTTATGAACTGATACAAAGTAAAGTAAGCAAAGTAAGAAAACAACTTGCATGTTCTCAGAGAAACTTGGAACAATGGGAACTTCAGATGGTAAAGTGTGCCTCAACAGGGAGATGGTAAACTCTTAAGTGTAGAGTGAGTCGTACATTTTTAGATGAGGATAATATGTTGATTTGTTTGGCTTGACTGTATCAAATTACTTCATTAATAAAACATTTTAAGCACAGAATCATATGGTGGCCCCGCCCTTCTCTGGGGTACTGAGTTGGTGGAATGGGGGGTGGGGGGAATGGCAGCCAAGTGCTAGAATGTGGACCTCCCACCTCCACCTCTCTAATTAGAGTAAAATGACCACATGTGAAGCTCTCCTCTCTGCTCCTGTGAAGGGGCACACATGCTGTGGTTCTTATATCAATTCATTCTTTGATCCGTGGGTCTTGGGATCCAGTTTATAGTTTGATGAGCCTGGGAGCCCTGGGGATACTCTAAAGAAGATGCTCTGTGGTTGCCATAGTAACTTCAAAGGACATGTTGTTGAAACCTTTAGGGTTAACTTCTAAAACAGATACAGTTTCTGAGTAGCCAGCTCAGGGTGCTTGGGCAGTATGTCCCCACTGAGCTCAAATACTGCCCAGGAAATCAGTAAATCCCACTGAGTACAATATAGTGACATTTACTTTAGAAGATACCTAAAAGGTAAATCCCTGAATTGGGTCACAGCTGAAAGGATCGGCTTTCCTAATAACTGAGGATTTACCCAATTTTTTTTTTTTATTTATGAGAGCAAGTACAGAGGCATTGAGGGCAGTATTAGTTACCTCTTATTGTTCCTTGGTGCTGGGACCAATATTGGATTCAGCACCTAATAAGTATAATCATTAGGATTTTCATTAAGATACTAAATAAAAAGAGGTTTCAGCCCTACCTAAATCACTTCAACAACCTAAAAATGCCACCTTCCCTACAAGAAGACACAAAGAAACAATAAATGACTTAAATCTCTTAGAGCAGTATGAGGGAGACAGGCACAGCTGGTGCAGATGCTGCAGAGCTGGCATCGCTCCAGTTCATTTCTCTCCCAAAGGCCAAAGACTCCACTCAGGTGCTTTGTGCCCACTTCTGTAGTTCAGGCCGAGCCACGCTGCAGGGCTCTTCTCAGCTCCACAACTCAGAAGCCAATGAGGCTCAGCTCCTCAGTGAATGCTAGATAAAAAGACATATTTGTAAAGTGCTTTGCAAACCTTAAAGCAGTATATATAAATGCTAGCATTTATCAACCTCGTCACTGGACAGCTA